TCATTAAATCTACAATTCGGAATCTTAATGTATTGATTTAAATAATTTTCCTCCATCCAATAGGAAGCAAAACAAAACAAAATGGAAATTAGAGTAATACAGATGATTTCGATCGCGGGTCAAGGTGTCTAAATTTTTGTGAGTTATCTACACTGCAAAGTCATTATTTGTTGGGAGAATTAATTTTCGATAGCTTTGTTGGAACTCTTGATCCACTAATTCATATGCACAAGAGTCAATTTTATGTAAGGATTTGTATTAGTTGATTTCTTCAGATTGTTCTGTCAATGAAATAAAGTGTCCACGCAGTAGTATTTATTAAAAATCCATGAAAAGCGATTCTCACGAAATGATATGGTTTAACAGATTATACTCATCTTTGCTTTACATTATGTAACCCTTCCAATCAGACCTCAAACAAAGCAACATTGCAAGATTCAAATTACATCAATATATATGGTTGTACTTTGAAATATTTAAACCTTATATTGTGTACTAGTTTAACCCTCCTTTATGCATCATTTTAGCATCATGCCTCGTCCTTCACCATGTACCTCTTACCTCCGTACTTAACATGTCCGTCCAAGCCGTTCGCATCCTCTATCAGTTCAGATGCTTCTTCTTCAGTGAGTCGCTCGCCGAGGTTGATCATGATCTGTCGTAGGTCAGCACTGTCCATCCATCCTATTCTTTCTTTGTCGAAAGCTTGGAACGCCTCCCTTAAGCTCTCCTCGGTTTCGTCAGGCTCTTGCATCAGTTCTGTTGCTATCTTCAGACATTCATCAAAATTGAGGGACCGATTTTCTCCTGTATCAAACAAGAATATAACGAGGCATTGTAAATGTTAATGTTTAAATACAAAACAGGAAAAGAAAAGCGAAAGACAGTCATTATTAAATTTATAACACTCCTTAATGTTGGGAAGGTGATATAACCATCTGAGGTTATTACAATGTAAGTACAGAACAAAATTCGGGTTGTTTCGTTATTGCGGAATTGGTTTTCCTTTCTTCCGTTTCTGCATAAATGGCATGAAAGGGAAAAAAATCTTTACTTCTCTTCGACAAAAATATCATTAACCATCAAATGCATTTCTATATGATCTAACTTTAAATTTATACCGGAAGATGCCATTCACTTATGTGCCTTTGTACAATCTTAAGATAACATGTGGTAGACACTACCAATGGACTTGAAGTCCTCGAGGTTTGCCGAAACCTGGATTAAACGTTTTGATTCTTTCAAATAGGGCTACAGAATTAAGGCGTGTACATCAAGTTCCTCCGATGAGTCCTCGAGAAATGAAAAATCTAAATGATCTTGTTGTTGTGCCAATGAAATGCAAGATAGAATTTTCCTATATCCCTTAATCTTCCTGGATAGTGATAGAACTGTTCTATACCCACTTAGTCGTCCTGGATAGTGTTAGTACTTTTCTACACCCCTTAGTCATCCTGGATCGTGTTTACTCTTACAGAAAAAAACGAGAAATTTATATTTACACATAAAAAATAAGTATCAGAGTGCAATAAGTCAATGCACCAGAAAAAAACGTGACATAATGTAATTAAATACCATGAACGGATCATGACAAGCAAGAATTAATTGTCAATAATCAATCAGGATACTTTTTAAAGCGGTAGGGGAGATCACTCTAATGACGACAGGTTTCGTGTTATCATTTGATTTAACTTCCAATGAGACACATTCCTATATTTTCAAAATGTACTTTATCTCATAAAGATGACCTACTGGATTTGAATTCCTCCCCTGCTGCCTTGACCGATTCCTCTGTTGGATTTAGTCCCATAGATCTTAGAACGGGGCCGAGGTGTTCGACAGGGATCAACCCATCACAGTCCTTGTCTAGAAGGCTAAATACCTCCTTCATCTCTGTAAACATTTTAATATCTTTTTTATACCAATCTTTACATATGAATACATACTTAATATTATATACATGCTAATAATTTCTGTAAACATTTCTATGCATAAAAATCAAGAATTATTAAATGTATATATATATATATTTCAACTTTTTAATAAGGCTTTGAAGACTTAATGATGCAGTAGAATCAAACAAACGATCGACTTCGATAACTGGCAAGAACCTATTTTCCTTCATCTCGTCGTATCTGCGGGATTGTGCAAAACACTTGCAGGTCATTAAAACTATTTTGATAGAAACGACATGATAGAAAAAAAATATATGTCGATTGATTTATATATATCGACACTTACTACTGATGTTAGAGGTCGAAATTGGGGCATGGAAGTCCAACTTTGTCCAGAAGTTTGGACATCTTATCGGGCAAGAAGATCTATAAACTTTTAGCTGATGAATAATTTTGATAGAATATCTGATAGCTGTCTCCTGATATGAATGAGTTTGATAGAATATCAGATAGCTGTCTCCTGTATGAATAAATTTGATAGAATATCAGAAAGCTGGCTCCTGATACTCTAGGCTTGTTCCGCTTTTAAAGTTTTAAAAATAAAAAAAGCAAAAATAAAATACAAACATGTGAACAGAATCGTGGTCCAAACTAATATTCAATACAACCAGGGCAAAACATGAACAAAAATAGTTTCAAACGGAAACTCCTGAAAGGAAGATAAGACCAGATATTCCGGGAGAGTAAGCGTCTTCTGCTTCATCAACTTCACCCGCAATGTAAATCTTGGTAAATGCAAGTAAGTAATGCCAAGTTCTAAAATAAGAACAAGGTGTACAACACCCGAACTAACAGGCAAGCTACTGAGCATCAAACACGTCTAGCTTCATATCGCACAAAGAAATAGATATTTCTCAGCGAAGCCACTGTGCCGACAGCGTAACCTCCTTAAATTTTTATTAAATTGATTCTTTTGAAACCATTTGTTTTGTTTGTTCGTTAGTTGACGGCTTCTTACACACAAAATCTTGGTAATGGGAACAGGTCTTTGAATATCGAACTTGTGCATTGGGATACGGGAATGTTACTATTCAGAAATGGAAAATTCGCAAAAAAAAAAAAAAAAAAAAAATGAAATCATCATGCTTAAGAAGAGACTAGAAACAAGTTATATGCATGATGTTAAAAAATTGAACAAAATTCAAAAGAGAAAAACTGCTTGTTATACAAAGTTTGAGTTGAGATACAATACAGAGAAACAATGCATTAATTCTAGGACTCGTTAGTGATGCTAAATGCCTAAAGTTGTTTGAGGCTCAGGGACGGAACGAGGAACATTCAAAGTGATGGAAAGAAAAATCAAATTCAAGATGTAAAGGTGCACTTGTCATATAGTGCAATAGATTTTGTAATTGTACATATTAGGTTCAGAACAAAGGCAAGTACATCGGTATTCTCTAAATTCTGCTACCATTCAAATGAATAAAATGGAGATTCATTTTAATACCGAAACTGTTTTTAATAAACGATTTTCTAATATTTAAATGTGATAATGAATTCTGGTTTTTCGTGTAAGATAAACTGACACAGCTAAATAATTATATTATTAACGTTAAAATCTGCTGAATGTAATTACTATCAATCCTAAATGAATCAGAGTAGTCAACTTACCTACAACTTGTAACTCTGGAACCTGTGTGTCTTCCGTCTGCAAATATGTCAACGTATATATCACGCGTAATAATTGTTTATTTGAAGCAACATTTATAACAATATTCTATTGATAATGTGTATTCAGAGATGGTTTATCGTCATTAGTTGTTTCTTATTGTAAATCAGTTTAGATTTATTCTTAATCTGTTCTATTAAAGTATCATTTTATCAATACTTACCATTGTAGTTAATTGACAACAACAATCTTCCCTTCTAAAACAGTTGATTCGAAATGCTTGCTCAATATTCAACTTGGGTATATTTGACAAAACAAAAACAAAAAACACAAAAATAAAACAAAAAATAAAACAAAAACCTTTGCTGATATTAGGGGCATTGATCATCAATATCTTATCAACTTAATGTGATCATAACGTAAAATTAAATCTACTATATATTATTTTCAAAACTCACGTTATCTGCATGGAAATAAACAATAATTTTCTGTAGACCGATATATTTTCTTATTTTTGAGTTGTTAAATATATTTTCAAATCATTCAACAAAGAATATATTGCATTAACAATAACTGAAACTAACAAGACATAGGCAACAGTTGTAAAAATGTATTTAGACGTATCGACGGTCGACTGGTTGAGGATGAAACCTATACTAACATATTGCGTGTGTTTGTGTAACAAAGAACCTTACCGTTTAATGATACCGGGTAAGGATGAAAGATGTCAGCTTATGTGTATAATCACACAAAAGACATAATTAAAGCAATATATCGGATGTTCTTAAAATCATGAACCTTAGTTTAAAAGCATGTTTAGCTTAACGGGACGTTATTAAAATAACTTGAATGCTTCGACAACACAATTTCATATCACCTGTGACATTCAAATTCCTTCAAAAGAAAAAAAAATGTAATTGTGCTTTCTACGTTCATTTTCAGTTTAAAGGACAAAAATAATGACAAAAATATTATTGCAAGATTAGAACTTTGTTTTAATGAAGTTTATTAACATAATACACTTAATTTAGCCAGATACATGGAATGCGCTAAAAGGTTAAAGAATTATGTGTACGATTACAACATGTTGTGACAACATGATTTAGGCGGTGACAAATCCGCGCGGAATTTCTTTCGGTAAGCAATGCGACGTATCGATTTTTCCTGGGTTTTGGGAATTTGTGTCTCCTATAGTGGAAGGCGTTGTGCCTGATTAAATATTTTGTCGGAGGTAAAACACACGATCAGAAGTGACATAAATAAACCCCACAGACAAATGTCTCCGAAGTGATATGAATAACAGGAATATATATATATAGTGAAAATGTGATGAATTCTCCGTGCCCAGTCTTTTATTATATATATATATATATATATATATATATATATATATATAATCAATGAAGTAATATATGTACTATAGCTTATATAGAAAACTCAAAGGACCTCCCTGTTTCATCATAATTATTGTTATTATTCTAAATAGCTGTAGATTAATACAACGATAACTATTATCTGTGAAAATGATGAATTTTCGCCGAAAACCACCTTATTAGACAATAATTTGTCGCATGGACTGATTTTTTTATACAGCACATTATCTTATAATGACCAGTACATACGCCATGTTTCTATGATCCTACTTCCAATGCTGGCAAATCCTATGCTTATGACACAAAAACATAGGACAATATGTCTGTAATTAAGGAGTGGGGGCCCTGAATTTGATACACTACATATCCCAATAGTATGACAAATGCATATGCCTAGTTTCAAGATCCTTGCTTGATTTGGGGCAAATTATGTTCCGAACACGTTTTTAGGCAGACTTATTTATCAGGACACGAAAGGACGGCCGAACGGACAAGGCAGGTACTATATACTCCCCAGAAAGTTTTTGGGGAGCATTAGATACGTCATTTAATGAGTATCCGATATTACCCTTTGTTTATATTCAAACACATATACAGTGTAGACTGATTGGTTTGACAGATGTTATAATTCACAAAGTCACAAAATGTATGTAGTTTACCAGATACTACCTGAATTAATGGTCGGTAGTTCTAGTCAAGATATTGATAAAATCGTATGTATGTCCGTATATCTCGACACTGATGCACATATAACGTCCCTGGAATAAAAACCAGAATATCTTGTACAGAAGAGGTTTCATGTCTGAAGCTATATGAAAGTTTTCAAAATAGAATATTTTTATTGTTATTTAATATTCTAACTTGGAAAAACACTTTAAACTCAAAGTCTAGATAAAATTTCACTTTTTATTGTCATTTGTATTCCAGAGAAAACAGAGTTTATTCTAAAAGAAAACATAAAAAACACGTAACATTGGAAAATCTATAATAAAATCTGCCGTACTTGGAAGATTCCAGCGCAGCTAGGAGACGCACTGTTGTTTGAAGGACGAGCCACGTTGATACGAGACAAAGCCACAATATACTGTAACACGCTCCCTCTGAGCCTGGTGGATCGCAGAACAAATCAATTAGGTAAAGGGGGACTTTATGATGTATCGATAGTGTCCACAATAGCACAGTCAGGATATCCGGGTCTGGTTTCATACGCGTCCTCGACAGTGATATCGCTTGGGAGTTCGAGCGCTTTAGAACGATATGGACAATTCCCGTCCGTCATTACCATATTATTAGAAACAGTGTTTATATATCGTCCGAACATCACTCCGTCACATACAGATAACACATCTCAGCTCTTCCCGAGTATCAGTCTGGTAAAGTCTGAAAATGAGAACGGTTATCGGTAAAAGTGAGCACAGTTCTATAGAATATCTTTCTTAACCCTTGTTCGTTCAGTGATACAACGGTCTTGTCAAAGCAATTACTGTTTGGCGCTACAGTGATTGGCAGACACATGTAGTGTTAGCCTTCTGAGCATCGCTGATGAGTGGTAGAATATCTTCGGGATAGAATGATATTAGAATGGTTGTAATGTAACGGGATCTATACTTACTCTTAATCGTTTTGTACATGTTCAATCAAATCCTACAGGGTTGTAATAGATGAAGCCACAACAACATTAGATATTACAGACATTTGTTAAGTAGTTCTTGGTCAATCCCAAGTTGGTGATGTATCATCGATGAAAAAGGCAGTTTACCCTTCTGGAGTGTATGGTCTTATTATAAATTTTTTAAGAGTCTCCATTTCAAACATATTTTTGTTCAGAGTTTTGCCCAAGCTTCACCAATTCTGAGTCAGAAATACGTTTTATTTAAATAATTGAATTTTAAACACCGAGAGTGACATTGGTCGGTAAAAAACTTTGTCATGGGAAAGTTGGTAGGTCGTGATCAATATTTGGAAAGGTTTTGTGTAGAACGGAAGCATACTAGGGCAACAACAAAAATAATTAGGAAGACTGACTTTATATTAGATTTACAAAAAAAATAAAAATAAAATAATAATAATAATAATTAATTATTTGTCCTGGCCCTAGTTGGCCGCCGTACATCTATAATTTATAGATACAGTTTGCATGATTTTCAAAGGAATGCATAAATACCTTCATATTTGATGTGACCATCTCCATCATCGGCCTCAAGCATCATTTCCTTAACATCATCATCGGATAGTCTCTCTCCTCGTGACGTCATCATTTGTGTAAGTTCGGCACAGCTGACATATCCAGTGCCATCCCTGTCCAGTACTCGAAATGCCTCTCGTAGACTCTCCTCTGTCTCCTGTGGGTATGCCAGCACGTCTACAACAACCTCCAAGGCATCCCGGAAATCGAGATTCTTATCATGTCCTAGAAAAGAGATATTAGTTTTTGTCAGTTTTTGTCGGTCAGAAGAAATTTGTTACAAGACAATCCTCTTCAAAGGCAACACGGTAAAAATATGTAAAAGTTATAATAACGTTGAATCAATTTTAAAGCCGAAATAAGCCTAAGCAATAAGATACGTCTAATCTTAGAATAAATTGTTTATTATTGTCTGTGGAGCAACTTTTAATATGGGATCTAATAACAACACTAAAATACCATTATGTCTACATCATCATAATACAAACTCATGTTCAATAACAGTAGTTTAGATATGAACAAAAGAAAGATTTATACGTGAAGACTCCTGCAATAAGAGGAGAATAAGACAAAGTGTTCGGGAAGAGTAAGCCGTCTTTTGCTTCGTCAACGTTACCCGTATATCTGATCAATCCAAGTAAGCAATGTTAAGTTCTCAAACGAGAACAAGAGTATACAACAATATAAACGGACAGGCAAACTAACGAGAATCCAACACACCAAACTTCATAACGTACGTAAACTTTCCAATACTATTCATCAACTTGCATCATTTAAAACCCTGTGTTATGGGTTTGTCTGTTTGTTGACGACATCTTGTATAAAAATCATGATAACAGGAGCAGACCCGTGACTGTCGAATCAACTTCGACATGTAAACACCATAGGCTGGGGATGCAGGAATGTTGCTATCCAGAAATGGAATATTCACAATAGGGAATTTGAAATCATCACGCGTATCATACAGTTTGTTGCAAGGCTGTTCATGCGGGTTTCGTTGTAGGGAAAAGATCAAGATAAGCGGATGATGTTGAAGAGTCTGTAAATATTCGCCGATATTTCGAGAATGACATCTCCCTGATTCACATCATAGCAAAGACTTCAGCTAAGATATCATAATGGTAATGGAATGATGTGCAGAAAACTAAAGATTATTTTATCTATGGATATACATTGTGTTAACAGAACCCCAAGCCAAGAAAAAGAAGTGAAAAGTACCAGTGCAAACGGCTTCTATGTGAATTGTGGATATATAGTAATGCTGATGAGTCATTCTCACTATTAATCATACCAGCATTGCGGTACTGTATAAAGTTAAATAGGATGATTTAAAAGGACAGAGAGAAGGAGAGACAATAACAGATAGAAATGCAATGATCTCCCTGATATCAAACAGGCGCTGATAATTCTTAAAATGATAAAAACATATGCGATGCAATACAGATCGATTTTAAAGACTCCTTCACTATTTTACGAACTTTCGCAAAACTGATCCGTGTAGGTGAGTATTTCCTTCTCCGACGGATTAAGTCCCATAGACCTCATCATTGGTCCAAGTTCTTCCAGATCCACATAGCCATCACAGTTTTTGTCGTAAAAACTGAAAATTTCCTTCAGTTCTGAAAAAAAGATGAAAAAAAAGTTAATAATTGTTTTGACGAATGCTGATAGGGGTAACAGTTAAAGAAAAAGAAAAAAGTAAAGCATTTTCGTGATAAATTTAAAAACCTTAAAAACATTACAATTTGACGATGCTTATTTTGTCAGGCAGATTTCGTAGATTGTAAATATAAGGGATTTTGTTTGCTACTCTGTGAGGCAATCTGTTTCCATTTCTATTCTGAATGAGATGGCCTTATAACGAGGTTTAAGGCAAAGAGTTTTCGTTATTTGCCAAGGAAAAATGGACATTAAAAAGAGATATATAATCAACTACCACGGAAGGTGTTAGATATCATTAGTTACACAGTTAAAAACTTACCGGCGATTTGTACTTCTGTCAGTGATGCTGTTACATCCTGTAATAGATTATATATACTTAAAAATTTACAAGAACGAAAAAAGTAAAACAACGGTATAGGATATATCCTGTACATAGATAGTAATAAAAGCAATTCAGATGTAGAGTTCCCCAGAAATATTTTGCCTGTGTACTGAATCTACTCCACTTTTACAGGCTAGTGAAGTGTACCACAGTACCAGCAATAGATATGTATGATGGTAACATACAACGACATATAAGTATTAAATAACATATTAAGGCATAAATTTGACAGGTATCATGGTAGGACATAAGTATATCAAATAATAAAGTAAGGAATAAGTCTGATAAAAAGCAAAACGTCAAATATATCAGGTAACATAACAAGGCAGCCATATTTATGTCTGATAAAAAGTAAGACATTGATGTGTCTGATAACATGGAGAGACATACACATATCCGATACGATACAAAGAATGGATGTGTCTGATAGCACAGCAAGGCATAAAAATGTCTGATAACATTGCAATGTATCTAGTCAAATGCTTTAGCGAGGCATAATATCTCCATTTATTTACAAGATATAATATACCTGATAAAATAACAAGGCATAAACATAGATAATATAGAAAAGCATAAATATAACCGATAGCATATAAAGACATAAATATCTGAAACATAGTAAGTCATAATCAAGTCTGATAATATGGCACGACATAATACACCAATTAAAGTACAAAGCAAAGCATACATTTAGCTGATATCATCACAAGGAATAGACATAACCAATATCATAGCCAGGCAAAGATATACCTGATAAAAGGATTAAATATGTCTGATTACATAGTAAGGCAACAATACGTCAGTTAACATAGTAAATAATATATGTCTTATTCATAATAAGGTATAATTGAGTTTGATAACATAGAAAACCATAAATCTATCCGTTAAATTATAAAACCTAATTAAGTCTGATAACACAGCAAGGCATAAATATGTCTGATAAACATAATAAAGCATAAACGTATCTAACAACGTTATAAAGCATATATATACCCAAAGATATAACAAGACATCATTGAGTCTTA